AGAGATTTCATTTCAATCATATATATTTTTTTTCCGTTTTGTTTTGTTAATGTGTTGTCTGTGATTTTTTTTTTTTTTTTTGTCTCCTGTTCTGTGTGCTTATCTGTTGGTATTTATCTCTCTTTCTCTCTCTCTCCTTTTAACTGTCTTTGTCTCTGTCTGTTTGTCTGTCGATCTTTCTTTTTTTTTCTTTCCCTCCCTACCTCTGTCTGTCTGTATTTCTCTCTCTCTCTCTCACTTTTCTCTCTATGTCTATTTGTCTGTCTGCCTTTCTGTCTGTCCAATTCTCTCTTTGTCTCTCTCGGTCTCTGTCTCTGTCTCCCCCATCTTTCTGCCCCCCCCCCCCCCACACACACACATACAGACACAAAAAACTGCAATCTTGCTTTAGTGGGAACGGTTTATCCCTCACCCAGGGCATTTGGCTGCCGAACATGGCCCAGAAATCGCGCCACAGTTAACATTAATACGGCAAATCGCTCCTTCCTATTGAGGAAATGTGTTAATTACTCCTTATCCTCAACCGGTAAAAGTGTACCGGTGTCTTAACCCAATGAGCGCGGGTGACAAGACTACAATGCCATGCCTACTGTAATAAAAGTTTTATCTACTGTCTTTACCCATACATGGCTCTACAAAGAGTCAGCTGTTAGTCTTACCTATCTCATATTTTACCCCTTATCCTTCGTATTTTGAAAGCTTCACTTTTATTATTTCATTGTCTCTGGTGTTATTAATATTTTGATAACAATTTAATAGTCATAATATCAATAAGAATGACAACAATATCAATGTTAATAAGAATGAAAAGAAACACGCATTTTCCCGCCAATTCAAGGAATGGGGAAATCAGGATCGATCGCTAGAGCCAACTAATAGACTCCTTGCTGTGGAGCCATCTGTGTGTAACAAAACAAAGGAGACAGTAAATAAACCCGCTGACTTTGGATCTATAGGAGCCTCTGAATGATTTCTGCACTTCCGCCTTCTCTTCTTTCTGCTATCTTAATGAAGGAGAAGAAGAGAGAGAGAAAAAAAAGGGCTAATTGTATTCTTCAAAGGCATCATCTCCGGCTATTTCCTTCACTCTCATTCCTCCCTCTCTGTATCCTCCTTGTCCTACGCCCTTTTACAAATGTAGTCGATGAGGAACAGGAAGGAGGGAGGATCCATCTTGCGTCATTACAACTGGAGAGGTTCGTGATATTTTTCCGGTCTGATGTTTATAACTAACCAACTCTCTTTCTCTTGTTCTTTCCCATCCGTTCTTGTTAAAACCCATTCTTTTTAATACCTATTCGTTTAGTCTGTTAGTACCCATGCGTTCAGTCTCTTCTTAGT